GGGTCAGCGTGGGGGACGGTCAGGGGCTCACCGCCCCGCCACGCCCTCGCTCTGCCCGCGCCAGGAGGCGGGAAAGCCGGCGCCCTCCGTTACGGCCCTTGGACCCTAGAGCCCCCTCCCTCCACGCGTCCCCAGGATAAGTTTCCCCCCTGGTCTGATCTCTCGGTCATCAGCAGGTAGTCACTGCACCTGCCGGGTCACCTGATGATGCTCCGACCTGGATTCTGAGTCCCGCCGCCCGAGGCTGCCGATGGTCACCACACCTGCTCACTCACAGCGAGTCCTCTGCTGGGCGCGAGCTGCTTGACGTTGGCAGGCGGGCAGAGTGGTTCTGAAGCCTTTTCGGACATAAAGTCCTTTGTGGAAATGTAAATGGGAAACATTTCATTCATGGAATAATTTCTTCCAGTTTCTAGTGGTCTTGCCTCTCGTTTTGAAAGCAAACCATCAAAAGCACTCGGGGGAAAAAAATACTGTTTTATTCTGTGGGTGTGTAGTGTGTTTATATCCTGATCGCCACATGAGTCACAAGCTAAACAGGAGGGCAGGCCTGCTGCCAGCTGAAAAGCCATTATCTCGTTGAGCAGGATCACATGTTTAAGAGTTTCTACAACAATAAACAGTTTCTGCTGTTTTGTACTGTCAGTGGATGAGCAGAGATAGAGTTTGCGCTGTAAATAGCAAATCATTTCGGCCAAGAGACCCCACAGCTCCGGCAGCATGAAGTAACTATCTGTGTGGCATCTGATGCATTGGGCTCTGTGACTAAGGGTTAAAAACAAAACCTGACACATCTTCCCAAGATACCCATTTTTCTCAAAGTTTATTTACTTGGGAGGAGGGCTCACACAAATTCGTGATATTAAGCAGGAGACTTCAAGGAAAAGTCGTGTTCCCAGAAGCTGTGTCCACACTCCTTGACTGTGAGAAAGTGCAGAAACGGAAGGCCATGTTTGAGAAGCGCCGTGGAAAGACATTTGCCAATTATTAGCTTGTCCCTGTTGACCCAGCGTCAACACTGGTTTCCCTTTTCTGCTACCTCGCACTCACAGGACAGACACAGCCCGGTTGTGCTCTGGGTGACCAACACGCAGCCCAGGATGCCAACCCGCCGCGAAACTCAATAATCTTTTTCTACCTCTTCGAGAGCACAAATCTTAAAAAGTGTCATCATCATAGGTTATAAGTGAAAGTTGGTCTCGAACCTTTACGTTTAAGCAAGGCCTAGCGTTTCTAATGATGTCACTTGTTTTCATTTCTTGAGCAAGAGCCAGACAAAGTGGGAGTGGCCGAAATGGTGGGATTCTGTCTTCGTCTCTCCCGCTCACACTGTCTGTTCCTCTCGACGCCCTGTTTACCACTATACGCTTTGTTCCCACGGGGTTCGATTTTGAGGAATTTTGTAATCTGGGCCTTGGTCATCATCTCCTCCCCACCTGGCATAAGTTCGTGAAGATACATGGATCGAGAGTCGCTCCTTTTTCCGCCATCAGAAGCCTGGGCCAGGACTCCGTATCCGATCATCAGCCTCAGGTCCCACACACACACGGAGAAGTGCGGATACACATCAAGCCGTTAACCTCTCGGAGATGCGTAGACATCACGGCCTTGACCCTGAAAGGTGGGCATGCCATGCATTCCGTTCGGAAATGCCGGCCAGGGCAGGTAGCTTTCCTTGGGCACGCACTCGTTGTTCAGGTACACGAGGCTTAAGACGCAGAGGTGACCGCTCTCTGCTCGCCTGCTGAGCTGCTGTCTGAGGAGTTCCTGACAGCATGGAAATCGGGATCTGTCTTCCGGGGTCTAAGCTGGGTTTCTGTATCTTTACTCTTCTGCCGTTCTGCCTGGCCTTGCTGACGCTCCCCGAATCTTTCTGTCGTAACGCTTATGTACAAGTGCCCGCCTTAGAGAGCCATCGCGTGGGTTCTGTGGTGTCCTTCTTCCATGTGGGAAGGGGCTACCGATTCCGACAGCTAGTAGGTATCTTAAAGTCGGCTCACTCGGTTACCTTTTTACTCTCTGCCCAAGCCGATACTGAAAAGGACACCACCAAACCGCGGCTGTGACCAGACCTACCACACACAGAAAGCCGGACACCTCATGTGTCAGGTCACAGGTTCTCAAAGTCGAGCCGGGGCGGGGGTGCAGGGCTTACGACGGTGCAAGTGGCTGGGCCTCACCCTCGGCCTGTCCCATCATTTCTGAAAAGTCCCAGAAGGTGCCGACACCCTCGCCTGGGATTCTGGGATCTTCCTTTGAGGACCACTGTCTTAGACCCCTCACTCGGGCGTGTTTTCTGACAGGGCACTTTGCATAATTATTCTGTAACCTTCTACTCCTAAGCTGTACGTGCTGCTTTGGAGAGTGAATACTGCGTTATAGCTGATTTGTTAGTTTTTAAAGATAGTTCTATTTTAAGAAACTCTAAACATTGTTATGAATAAGTTTCAGACATGAGATTCTTGCAGAGGAAATAGAATAAGAATACTAAAGAAATTGAATGTCACTTTCTCCTTATGCCTGCTAAGTTGATCCTTTGAATATATCCAGGGGCCATCTTTAGTGTGTTATTCTTATTCTCTAGAACATTCTATATGTCCATAACTAAGGAAGTATGTGTGTGTGTGTGTCTAATTTTGACAGCTAGTGGTGTCTGGCAGCTCGGCCTGTGAATCAGAGGCTCTGAGTTCTGGTGCTGACTCAGCTACTTATCTTTTGACCTGGAAAATCATAAACTTGCTCGAACATCAGGAAACCATCCAGCAATTATCAGACGAGGTTGGAGACTGTTCCCAGCTCCAGGAATCTGCCTCTCTTCTCCCCCTGCGTCTGGCTTCGGGGCTTTTAAGTATTTTTACATGAACTTCTGGAAAGAAGACATAAGACTATCTATCTATCTATCTATCTATCTATCTATCTATCTATCTATCATCTATCATCTATCCATCATCTAACTATATCTACTTAGATGTAGCAATAGATAGATACATTCATATATTTAAAATATTAAAAAGTTTAAGTAAGGTTGGGAATATTGCTTGGTCTTGTGCTTGAGCAATGAGCGCGCTGTAAGTCTCTACTCCCCACTCTTTCCATGGAACTGCTGTCACTGTAGTGAACAGATGGAGGTACAAATACTGGCCCCGCACTCACCAGTATGCACCTCTGGGTCGGCGAGTCCACCTGTCAGGCCTCGGAGAGCTCACCCCTGCCTCAGAATGATCCTGCGCCCAGGGAGGGGGCGTGTGGAATGTGGGGCCAGCCGGGGGGCCCTGGCGTGAGCTCGGCACCCCCCATATCTTCCTGTCTCCCCACCCACTCCGCCTTCTCTCAAAGTAAAGCGTAGCTGCAGAAATGAAAGTTCCTCTGCTGCACGCGAGCAGATCGATGCAGCCAGCGCGGCTGCTCCGTGGCCACCGATGGTGCCGAGGGGAGCCGGAGGGCGGCCGCAGCCTCTGTGTCCGGCAGGCGCACCCCTTCCCGCCTCTCCCTGGTCATGATCCGTGGCTGCTGCGTCAGAGTGGTTGTTGGGTTCAGTGCCGTCGACTGACCCCGTGACGTATCTTTCTGAGCTGAGAGAGCTCCGATGCCTCGGGCCGAAGATGCCTTCCAGGAGGTTGGCCGCGGACCTTTCCCGGGGATGCCAGCGCCCGGCCGGGGGCGCACCACGTGGGGCCGGGCGCAGGGTCTGCGCTGCCCGCGGCTTCCTTTTCTTATTCGCAAGGGCGAGGTAGCAGGTTTGTAAGTTACGGCCCTTCAAAGTGGTGCTGCTCCAACTTCAGGGCCCCACACGTCGCCTGGTCAACCCGCGGGGCCTGTCCAGCGGGTCCTGTCCAGCGGGTCTGGGTGGGCCCAGGCCGCCCCAGCAGGCGCCGGGGCTCCCGGGCAGTGCTGGCCGCCGGTCCCCGACCGCACTCGGAGTAGCATGGCCTTAGGAGAGGCGTCCTCATCACCCTCGCGTCTTCTTTCCCACGGTCTTGAACTTGAGCACTGCTCCCGGAAGCTACACCGTATCCGAAAATACA